CTATGGTAAATTATTTATCTTTTTTGCCTGCTTGGATTTTGCTTTCTGAAAAAAGGATTCTCTCTTAAATGGGTTAACTGGTGCTTGCAATAATTATGGGGAGAGAGGCATATATCATATTACTTGGTAGTTATAACTATCCATCAGAAGTAGTAGTGAATTGACAAGGATATATCTAAGGTGAGTCACTCTTAGTTGGAGAGTGTCCCAGCAAGAAAGATGTATGTGCAGGGCACAGGGCTTGTGATGCTGTATCGGCGTTCCTTGACCTTTCCCAAAATATTCTTTGCCCCAATGTTCATTTTGCATTTTATTTTAACGGGAGCGGTGGCGCAGGCAGTAAATGAAGCCTGCATTCCATCTGGCCGAACAGCTTCAGCTGTTCGAGCCCCACCGTGGCCGGGGTGAGCTCCCGGTCCAGATCCCAGCTCCCGCCCACCCAGCGGCTCGAAAGCCTGTATGGGCAAGTAGACAAATGGGTACCTGCTTTTAGAGCAGGGGGGCACCCGTCCTTCCCTTCGCGATGGCGTGGCGTGGCGGCAGCATGAGCAGCGGAGTAGCGGTGGAGAACAGCGGCAGCTAAGAACATGGTGGCAGTGGTGAGGCGAGCGACCGAGCGGAGACTGGGCCGGCAGAGCGCGGAGGCGGACCGACACAGTAGGCCGGAGCCAACCGGACAGAGGCCGGCTGCGGGAGCATGCGCGGACGTGCACTATGCCCATACCTGGAAAGGAGCCGCGACGACCAGAGGAAGACCTGTGCCAGAAAAAAGACGGCAACGCCAGATTGAAAAGACCTCCCGCAAAAAGAGACTATAACAACGAAGACTCCGCTATGGGTGCCTGTTAGGTTAGTCAATTCCCCCTCAATTGTATGTGCGTGGCCCTAGGAAGAGATTGTAATAAATTGTATATGTAAAACCGCTCAGAGCCCTTAGGGGGTGAGTGGTCTACAAATCGAAGGAATAAATAAATAAATAAATAATTTTAACACAGGCACTAATACCAAGTGTCGCAAAGTAAGGACAGAAGGTTAGAAGGCAGAGAGGCTGGAGAAACTCTTTGCGGCTGTCTGTGGCCTACTGTTTACAGCAGAAAAGCAACTATGGGAGGAAGCTTTGGAAATATCATGGGCACTCTGCTCACAGTAACTGTCTTCCTGAGTCTTTTACATGTAGTACAAGGGTCTGCTAGATCTGCCAGTTGGAATAATAGAAGGGGCTGTCACTTACTCTGCTAGGGCCCACCCCTCTGCCCAGCCTACTAGCTGGCTTTGCTCTGCACAGAGGCAGAGCTGAGAGCCTAAACACATGAGCCACCACGTGCAAGGGCTGAGCAGATGCACTTAGAGACCCGAAGGATGAATCATCGAGTATCACAAATGGAGATGAAGAATTTAGTCCTCTCTCTAGATGCTGCAAGCAGCCAGTTCTCGCCTGTTAAATTCAACAGAGGAGAATTCAAGGTCAACTCGTTGCATAGGGCTTGTTCAGGCTACAGATCCTGCTGTCCCCAGACCTCATAGCTGTGTGGTGTTGAATTGTGGTGTTTCATCAAGGTGAATTCATCAAAGTGAATTAGACCCTCAGGCAGGTGGCCGATACATTACTTAATGGCCCATTGTTCACTGACACCATTTGCAAATAACTGTTATGGTTGTAAACATTCATGGTAGAAAAAGGAATGTGTCCTGGAAACATACTGGAAACAAAGCCCATTAGGGGCATCCTTTGCCTAGGATCAATTTATGTACTTCATTTATACCACACCTTTCTCCCCGACAGGGACCCAAAGCCGCTTACAGCATTTTCCTATCCTCCATTTTATCATGACAACAACCCTGTAAGGTAGATTAGGCTGGGGGTCTATGACTGGCCCAAGGTCACCTAACAAGTTTCCGTGGCAGAGTGGAGAAGTGTAAAACTATAGCCAACGGAGTTCAATTGTAGAGAATGTGGAGTTGGGGGAAAGAGAACTGGCTCCCCTTATAAACAGCTGCAGCCCCAATCCCAGTTTAGTTCTAAAGGTAAAGGTAAAGGTTCCCTTGCTCGAAAGCCAGTCGAATCCGAGTCTAGGGTTGCGGTGCTCATATCCGTTTCAAAGCCGAAGAGCCAGCGCTGTCCGAAGACGTTTCCGTGGTCATGTGGCCAGCATGACTAAACACCAAGGCGCATGGAACGCTGTTCCCTTCCCACCGAAGTGGTACCTATTTATCTACTTGCAATTTCTTGCTTTCAAACTGCTAGGTTGGCAGGAGCTGGAACTAGAGATGGGAGCTCACTCCGTCATGCGGCACCCGGGTCTCGAACTGCTGAACTACTGACCTTCACAGCCTGCAGTTCAGCGTCTTAACCACTTGAGCCACTGCAGCTCCTAGTGTAGTCCTACTGCATTGTTTATTGGTGGTCTTTGGTGTCTAATTTAATTATTTTTCATATTTTTTAGTCTGTCATGAGTCTCACTGAGAAAGGCAGGCTATACACTGGGGGTGTGGGGGGGGGAGGTATGTTTGCGAATTTCCTGCATTGTGCAGGGGGTTGGACTAGATGACCCTGGAGGTCACTTCCAACTCTATGATTCTATGAAGTTAATAGTGATGGTAATAATTCTTTCCTGTTTTCAGGATAAACACAAGAAAGGGGACCCGCGATACTCTACTCGTGGGGGGAGAGAAGAGCTCCACGCAGAGCAGGAGGAGAAGGCAGCAGCAGCAGGTAAGCCCTCTTCCTCCCCGTCCCCGGACACTGGCAGCGTGGCCTGAGCTGCTTCCAGCCGCTGGGTCCCGCCAATCTCTCCCCCCGGCTCCTTCACCCTCCGCTGGTCTCCTCCTCCCCCCCCGCCTCGGCTCCGGTGGCACGACCTGAGAGGCTTCCAGCTGCCGGGCCCCGCCAATCTCCCCCCCGCTCCTTCACCCTCCGCCGATCTCCTTCCCTCCCCCTCCGGCGGCCGATCTCCTCCTTCTCCTCTCCCTCCTCCTTGGCTTCGGCGGTGAGGCCTGAGCGGCTTCCAGCTGCCGGCCCACCACAGAGTTCCCAGAGCGTTCCCTGCGCATGCGCAGGAAATGCTCTTTTACATTTTGGGGGATTTAAATATCCCCCCTATATTTTTTTCTACTTTTTAGATTTTTGTGCACACCTGGGGACTGCCCCAAGTGTTCAGGAAAATCTCTCTGCCCCCCATGTGCCCCCGATGCGTGGGTTTAGATATCCGCACACAGGGGGCGCCTTCGCTATTAGATATATAGATATTATCATGGTTATAGTGCTGCCAACTCCAGATTGGGAAATTCTTGGATGGGGAGGCAGAGCCATGGGGAGTAAAGGGTAGTCACCTTAGTGGGGTATATAATGCCATACAGTCCACTCTCCAAAGCTGCTATTTTCTCCAGGAGAACTGATCTCTGTGTCCAGAATGTTCTGAATTTTATACAAGTGCACTATTTATTGGGTTGAAATATGCTGTGTTGAATATTGCAGTGTTACATACCGAAATGCAACAAAAGAGCACATAATGGAATAAAATGAATTTTGTTTAACAACTATTGCCTCTCTCTATACTAGATTCAGTCCCTTGCCAGTCTCCACCCAACCAATAAAAGAACTCAAGGAAACTGGGGCGGGGGGGGGGGGGGGGGGACCGGAAAGTCCTGCGTCCCAGAATCCTTCAACAGTTATCAGCTGTATTTCTAGGAGATCTCTAGGTCCCACGTTGAGGTTGGCAGCCCTATCAAGGTATATGATGACAGTTCTCCAGTGTAATGTGTAGCTGGCCCTACATTCAGTCCCCCATCTGCATTATGGAGATAGTATGCCAGGCCAGTGGCCACCGGACAGGGTTACCAAAATAATGAATGTGAAGTCCTTTTAAGCCCACAGCATAAAACAATTGCTAAATATAATTATTTCTATAAGTGATGTAGGTGATACAATTACACTATAATCTATACTTTTATCCTTCATTTCTTGTGTTTGTGTACCAAGCCCATATGTGTTCTGTAATTGTTCTGTATGTGTTCTCTAATTATTAAAATGCTTGCAGTTAGATGGCACCAATGATTTCGTTACTGTTTTTATTTCAGTTTTTGTGCTGTCAGTTTACATATCTGGAAATGTTTGGCAGTCTTTATTCCATACCTATTGCTGACCACAACAGCTAAATTATTTATTTTTAAAATGTTTATTTGCTTGTATTTTATTGCAAATCATAAGGCTGTTCTATTTTTCAAGTTATTTTACTGCAAATTTACTGTTTTTATTGACCAGCTTATTTTTTAAAACTGGGTTAATGAATTTATTTATTTTTAAACCCAATGTATTAATTTGAATGTATTTATTCCTACAAATGCTGTGGCTGTTTTTCATTCTGGAATGTTCTCTTTAAAAAGCAGCGTTACTGATCACTGTAGTAAAAAATAAATTCAAGAATAAAAACAGCCAGTAAATTTGCAGTAATGTCTGAACTCTTACGACATTTTTCTAAGTCTGGTACAAGCCCATCCTGTGGAGGAAACAGTAATTTGGAAAACCCTTCCTGGAATATTCTGAAGTGAAAAAGATGGCAGCTTAATACAGAGAAAAGCAGAGGGAGGGCCCAACTGTCACCTCAAGGGAGCCCCGATCGCCTCCTCTAACAGCCCCCGCCCTTTCTCCCTCCTCCTGCTAGTCAAGGCCCCCCACAACCCTTCCTGACAGACACCCCAGCCGAGCCAATGTCGTTTTGAAGCCCCGCCCAACTGCGTCATAAGGAGCCAATCGTGGACCGTTCGCTTCCACTCCTTGTCCGGCGTCCGCGAGACGGCGGCGCCGCCACCGCCTTAACAACCTTTAAGCCTCTTTTTCCGCCCCCTCAGCCCCTCTACCAATAGTGTGCGACCGGGGCCCCGAGTGGTGGGCAAGCGAGCCAATGGGCAAGACCGGGGCGGGTTAGTGACAGCGAAGGAGGCGGGGCAGTGGGACGCCGAGGCGGGGGCCGGCTTTGGTTGGGGCGTGCTTGTATGTATGTGGCTGTGAAGGGGGAAGGGAGCGGCATCCTGATGGGAGTAGCTGAAGCTGGCGGTACTGCCCGAGCTGGGCCTGCACAGGTGAGCCGGCCGTCGAGGCATGGTGATGAGGTGGGGAAGGGGGATGCTGAGTGGTGCCGAGCACGAGCAGGTGGGGCAGTCACCTCAAGACCCCTCCCAACATCCGGGTACCTTCTGGGACTAAGGAGAATTGGTAGGTCGAGTCACCTGCCTGGGGGGTGGGGGGAGACCGTGGGGGGGGGAGGAGCGGGCCTCCCCCGGGAGCGCCCTTGCCCCATCCGAGACCAACGTTATGAGCACAAGTCACCTGGGCGATCGCCCCCCCGCCCCCCACCCAAGGGCCTAGAATATATGGCCCCTTTCTCTTCACGGCTTTCGTGGGTTTGTCTCCCAGCTCTCTCCCGTGGCTTTTCAGGCTTGGATCCCTAAATGTCTTTCGCCCTCCGTGGAAAAGAAAAAAAGGGGGGATTTTCTCCCCTGGTTTTTGTTTAAATCTTCTACTTCCCGATGCATCTCCCCCACCCCACCCACTACTAATGGTTAAGTACGAAATGAGGAGGCAACATAAGAGCTGCTCTTGCTGAATCAGACCAGTGGTCCATCATCTTGTTTCACAGCGTGGCCCAGAGATTTGCCCTGGGGGGCTAGCAAAGGGCTGTCGGATCCAGCAGTGGACCTCTTAAGATTTTCAGAACTGCCTCTTTAACATCTCCTAGAGTCCCTTCCTTTCACTCTCAACACGCATCAGAAAGTAGAGTAACCCTGCTTGATCCGAAGAAAAAAATCCCTCCTCCAAACTGCTCATTGAAAGGCAACAATGGCCCCGGTCACGGCAAAGTTGCTGTGGGAGAGGCACAGAAGGTGGGGGGATTATCCGGGCGCGGTCACACCCCAACATCTGGGAAGTGGAGCGCACCTGTGGCTTAACACCGACAATGCGGATTTAAAAACTAGTACCTCCAAGGTACTAGTAAACGTTTGCCACGGGCTGCAAGTTTTGCAGCCAGGTCTAAAAGCCCATTATTGAATGTATTCTACATTCAGTTTCCCCCCAGCATTTTAAGAGCATTTTATCAGTTACTTTTTGTTATAAGCAGATGGCCTTAAAAATGTCTAGCATGGTCTGAGATAGAAGGGTGGGTTTGGCCACTCTTTTTTTTTCTTAAATAATCTATTTATTAATTTTCAAGACAAACTTAAACTGGAACGTATAAATATTGTGACACATCAACTTACAAGTTTGGGTTAATATGTTCACTATACATTATCCAATCAAACCACCATTACTAATTTTCCCAGTGATATATCTAATGTCACGTATTACAAGATCCTACGATTTACTCCAACAAATAAATTTATAATAGATCAGACGTATAAATCCTATAGCACCAAAGCCATCCAGTAAATAGTCTTGACATTGTTCCACTTGTTTGAGCAACCAATATTCTATCCCCTATTTGAGCTACTATAAATATAACCATTTTAAATTAAATTTAAACCTATTAAAAACAACAAACATCCACTTATGATTCTGCTATCCTTAAATAAAGATACAATAAACTATTAGCCAGCTTTTAACATTGTTCAGCTTTTTAGTAGCTCATATCATTGTTATTATCTTAATGGCTCCATGATAACAATAAAACCCCTCTTATATTCCTATTCGGCAATCTCATTCCTTTTTGCTAATTTAAATTTAGTTCATTCTAGCAACATATATAAATCATTAGCCATCTCATTTCTTGTTGCTAGTTTGGCCACTCTTGTGAAGATTTAAGGTTCTTTGCTTAAGATCCCCACTGCCTTGTTTCCCTTTTTTGTGTTTTTGGTTTCAGTGGTACTTCTCCTTCTCCTAGCTTCTAATTCTCTTTACTACATGGGTTGTGTGACCTTTGGAGTTTAACCAGTCTCAGATTGTCCTCACATCTTTATGGACTGGGGATCCCACCTCTGAGATGTATGGTAGAATTTTTCTTATCCCCCTCTGAGATGGATTGTAGAATTTTTCTTTTCCCCCCCCCCCCCAATTTCTTTTCTACAAGTGTAGTGAAATTCCTTCTGGTTTGAGCAGTTCCTTATCAGTGAGTAAAAGTGTTTTTCCTGTCAGACCCCCCACCACCACTGTAGCGTTTTTGTTATCTTAGTGTTACCATTCTTCTTTGGAAGCTGTGTGCTCACTCTGCCCTTAAGGAATCAGTTGAGCTGGATCGCTTTTGTTCCTGGGGTATTGTGGTGACATTTCCCCCCCAGACATGTTATCTTTTCACCTTGTATCTGGTACATACCTTTTCTCATCTGCTTGGTTTAATAGTATTCACTCGTTCCTATTGCTTCCTTTTACCAGTGGTGTACGTTCTCCTTTGTAACTCATAGCTCCCTGTTTCCCAGAGAAGTAATATCCAAACCTCAAAATGGTGTCCCTCCAGGCCTCATCAGAAATTCTTTTAAATTTGTCATTATCTCCCCCCCCACACACACACACTTGTTGTTCCTGTATTTCATCTACTTCCCAGTTGTCATGCAGCCAGGCTGTATGGGTCTGTTACTTATAACTGATCAGTCTGTTCTTCTGATTGCTTTTGTTATTTTAACTATTCACTGTCATTTTATGTCAGATGCGGTTATGCTGGTAGCCTCTATAATTCCAGATGATGCACAAAAGTCCAAAACTGGGTATCTCCCCCCTTAGAATCATAGAGTTGAAAGGGACTTCCAGGGTCACCTAGTCCAACCCCCTGCACAATGCAGGAAATTCGCAAATACCTCCCCCCATCCCCAGTGACCCCTGTTCCATGCCCAGAAGATGGAACCTCCAGGATCCCCAGCCAAACTGGCCTGGAGAAAAATTGCTTCCTGATCTTAAAGTGGTGATCAGCATGTAAGAAACTGCATGTAAGAAAGGGCCACAAGAATGAAACACTGATGCAACACTTCCTGCCCTCCCTTGCATGATCTACCTAAGTTCACAGAATCAGCTTTGCTGTCAGATGGCCATCTAGCCTCTGTTTAAAAACCTCCAAATAAGAAGAGGAGAAGAGATTGAATTTATACCCTGCCCTTCATTCAGAATCTCAGAGTGGCTTACAAACTCCTTTCCCTTCCCCTCCCCACAACAGACACCCTGTAAGATAGATGGGGCTGAGAGAGCTCTTTCAAGAAGTGCTCTTTCAAGGACAGCTTTGACAGAACTATGGCTTGCCCAAGGTTATCCAGCAGCTGCAAGTGGAGGAGTGGGGAATCAAACCTGGTTCTCCCAGATTAGAGTCTGTGCACTTAACCACTACACCAAACTGGCCTCCTTGGGAAGGATCTTTCACTGAGGAACCACTTTAACAGTCGGAATTTCTTCTTAATGTTTAGCTGAAAACTCTTCTGATTTAATTTCAACCCATTGGTTCTGGTATGACCTTCTGGGGCAACAGAAAACAACTCTGCACCATCCTCTATATGACAGCCCTTCAAGTACTTGAAGATGGTTATCATATCACCTCTCAGTCATCTCCTCTCCAGGTTAAACATACCCCGCTCCTTCAACCTGTCCTCACAGGACTTGGTCTCCAGACCCCTCACCATCTTTGTTGCCCTCTTCTGGACACGTTCCACCTTGTCTATATCCTTCTTAAATTGTGGTGCCCAAAACTGAACACAGTACTCTAGGTGAGTTCTAACCAGAGCAGAGTAAAGCGATACTTTCACTTCATGTGATCTGGACACTATACTTCCGTTGCATTTGCCTTTTTAGGTACTGCATCATGCTGCTGACTCATGTTCAGTGTTTGGTCTATTAAGACCCCTAGATCCTTTTGCACATACTTTTGCCAAGTCTCCCCCATGCTACAATTATGCATTTTATTTTTCCTACCTAAATGCAGAACTTTACATTTATCTCAATTGAAATTCATTTAATTTGTTTTAGCCCACTTTTCCAGCCTGTCAAGATCATTCTGTATCCTGACTCCCTTCCCACTGTTAAAACAATTCTGTTCCTAACTACTTGCCATTCAGCAATGAATCATGTTCTGTTAGAGATAGGGAATCGTGTGGTGACTTCCCTTGAATATAGTTATAGCTTTGCAGGCTATTTCTGTACCTTGCTTTAATCTTTCAATTTCATTACTGGTTGTTTTCATTGTGTGGGTTTTTTGTTTTTTATCAGTTTTGCAAAGTTTTATCAGTTTGAGAAATGAAAATTTCAATTTTATGTCTCTTTAAGGATCCTGAATAGAATTGTACATACTGTACTTTTTAGCTGCAACTAAAAAAGATAATTGGCGGTGCTTCAGCACTAATCATCCCGTGGTATTCAGATGCTCTGCATAGGTGATCTATTGGTTATTTCCAAGTGGAAAAGCAATGTACAGAAGTATGTGACAAGAGGTAACAAGCTACTGACACATCTATGATTGCGAATGGTATACCTTTGATCCCTGTGACTCATGCTTGACCCACAGGATTACAGTGTCTCCTGATAGGGTTCTCAAAGCATTTGTCATATTTAAAATTCACTGTGGATATTGTCTTCTGGTTATTTATTTGCAGCTTCTTTTTGAATCAGTCTAAACTTTGAGGTAATTTTTTTTCTGTTAGCAGCATTGACAGTTTTGAAATTTGTTTAGGGTTGCTATGGTTTGCCTTTGTTAAATTTTTTGAACCTAGCTTGAATCTTTCTTTGTTAAAGTGTTGTTCTCTATAAATATGCATTTTGTGTTTTGACTCTTCTGGCTACTAACAGGAACACAATCAATTTCTTGATTTTTTTTTCTTCTGATCTTTTCTTGCACAGACTAATTAGCGATACTTCATTTTATTTAATGGACGTACAGCTCTTATTTAGTCTGTTTAACATGTCAGTCATAATTGCATATATAAAATTATTTGAAATGAGGATGGCCATTTTTGACATTTTAGTGAATGTTTGGGTTTTTGTGGGGAGCTTTTTTCTCGATCTCAATTTGACCAGTATCTTTTTAAAACAAGCATGGCTTCAACCCCCCTCCCCCCTGACTTTATTATGCTATACCATTATGGCATTGTTCCTTCTAAAACAAACATGTTTGGAC